TAAAAATTTACGTTCTCACGAGTACCACTCCCTAATGCACGGTGTCTACCAACTGTGGACAAAGTGCGCAACATTCCGTGCTCATTGGATTTTACTTTCTCACGTGTTGCACTGATAGTTTGCACACGGTTATCTGGCGGAGAGTCAGGTTGTTGATGTGGTTACGAAAATAAATGCCGATCAACGTTCAAACGACCACTGTTCTCTCTGTTACAGCCAACATTCGTTCTTTAATTTTCGTCAGTGACTGCTTTTCGCATCCGTACGTCAGTGCCTTCAGCATATTGGTATTGCAAAGGTCCTTACGACTCGACATTGAAAGCATCGGCGTTTTCTACGGACAGCTTAGTACTTTGCATCACTGTTGCTTTCAGTGCGTTAATTTTCAATCCGCCGGTTTTTACTAGCGCTTGCAGTACCTCATTGTTTTTGCAAGAACTGCTGTTTGATACTGATGTAATTTAAGATAGCTAGAGGGCATAATGCGGATTGAAAAACCTTTGGAAAATATGATTATAAAGCCTTTACTTCTAAGTAATTCGGGAAAATGAGGGTAAGAGATTTGAGATTTTCAGAATGTGCGCACCTCTTCAGTACCGTGTTTGAATGCACGGACAAAATGTGTGAACCGTCGTTATTGAGGGAAGCAGAAGACCGAACGCTAGTTCCAATGGGGAGCACGGGGCCGAAAAACAATTGCAGTGTTTCCGTGTGATCACACAGGCAATTATTCTCTCCGTCAAATGAGTGGTGTTCAAGATACCATTACAACTATATGGGAAAGTAAAATCTGATAGGGTAGGGCATATCAGTGATGGACTGTGAATGGCATCTGTGAGAAACGGCCGCTTGAGCAACCTTTAAAGTGATGGCATACTTACATCGAACAGGGGCATGCAGCTTAGGAACGAATGTTCTGACATGGTCGCATTTGCTGCGTGGGATCATCGCAGTTTCATTGCCTACATCGGATCCATCATCGATACAGGCTGGTTTTGATAGTCCTGATGTCGTTAGCAATAAAGTAATTGCTTAGGTTGCTTAGATCTTTCTATTAAAAATTTTCTAGGATTCACTTTTCATAAATTTTATAAATTTTGTTGTGTGCACAAGCCAAAACTCGCATTTTTAGTGCGGTCAGAGTACATTTCGAAAGGTTTACCAGTCGTGTTTCCGGAAGAGATTCCCCAGGATGATGAATCGGCGACTGTGTCAACACCAATGCTAGTGAAGGAAGAACGTCCACCGCTTATTATCTCACAGCATGAGAATCCTCTTTACAAGCCGCCGCCTCCGCTGTTTGCTGCTTCGAGTCCGCGTTCGCGAAATACTGTAACAAATCAGCGGCAGCCTCCGCCTTACATTCCGCCATAACGGCTTATCTGTTCTGTTGAAGTAGTGAATATGTTATGTTCAAGCATCCTTTATTAAATCTCAGTTCTGAAGCCACATATTCGCTTATTTTGTTCAAGACTTGTCATTTCTTGGCTTTACTTTTGCATTATTCATTCGTCCTTTGTTTGCTCGATACTTCTCACTGAAAAAAAAAGTCATCTGTGGGTTTTTGTAAGCTAATTTTGGCCAGGGACTGATTTAGTTAGGTGCCCGCACATTTAATGAACCTTGAAACTTCCTGCACCCTAAAAATTGCTCTCGCCTTTTTTTTTTGAAATTTTTTTTTCTAACTCGAATTAATGACTTTTCTTTTGGAGTCCATCTGTTTACTGTGCGTTTGTTTGTTGGTGTTTTATTGTTTCTACGAAGTTATTTTGTGCTCATGGTAACCCAGGTCAGCTGTACTTGTTATGCGTTCTTGCATCTTATACGAAGGC